CAGTGAAAAAGTGTCAAGATGTACCCATCAAAAGTGGTTTCCGTCTTCACATTGATCCTCCAATAATTCGTGTTTCAAATCCTTATGAATGAACAAAGAGACTCCACCACCTCTAGAATGTTTTCTGTAGTTATAGTAGTGAACATAGTTTGGTAGTTTTAATCTCTGTGCTTCGTCTTCGTTTTTTATCCAAGTTTCCGTAATAATTAAAACATGAATCTTCGTTTCGAGTGATTCCATAATACAACGTATTTCATCTGGTTTGCCTGGCTTAACTAAACTGCGAATATTGGCGTAGAAAATTTATTATGCTTTGTTTGTAATAGATAAATCTGCATAATTATAATGATATTTATGAGTTATAAATTTATCCTTATTTTTGGTTATTGTATTTTCTCTGGTGTCCCGTTTTTTGTTTCCTGTTTTATTATTTTGGGTGTTCCTTTTATATCCTTTGTAATTAAGTCGTTTTCCTCTTTTTCTTTGCGCTGACGTAACTCTTCTCGAAGGTTTGCCATTTCTTGTTTTTGGTTAGGTGTCTGATCGGAAAAGATTTTTATATTACTTACTTTGCATTTAAATTTATTTTTAACAAGGTTTTTGCTATATCTGGAGTTAAAAAGCAAACTAGTTAGTGGGCGCGTTTTCTTCCCATCATACTTGCCTAGGCGCATTATTCTTTCTGGTTGGGGGGTAAGTGGATAGATGCCTGATAGTACTTTCATCACTTCACATCTATCGTTTTCCCTCTTTTCTTCCATATTATCTGAATGTGGTTCGAAAATGCCAGTGATTATTATATTCTTGGCGCGCTCTAAACGCTCTTGAACTTCGGTCATTATATCTGCATAACTATTCGCTGTCGGTTTAGGACGTCCTGATGGTAAGGGGGCATGTACAGTGCTCTGAAGAGCCTGTACATCATTTTCAATACATTTTATTTTTTCTTCGTTATAAGTGAAAGTATTTGTGTAAGTGTATTATAAAATAGATTACGATTTTTTGTTCTTACCATGGGCACACTTTATTTGCAATAGCACTATACTTTGGCACAATTAAGTTTAGAATTATGTAGCACTACTATTTTGAATTTTATTTGTCGAAGTAAAGAGTAAACACTCCGTTGAATATATTCTGGATTTGGTAACTCAATCGGCAGTTTTTATTGTCACGAACCTCAAACTCGTAACAATAATATATAATAGGTCGATTATATTGCAACCAAATATGAAATTTTAGCTGAGCCCATGTGCGCTACTGACATGCTTGTTCCACACTGTTACATAATGTTTCTTTTTACTATTATATACACCCTGGTGTTCTCTCATTCGTTCTGCTGCCTCACTTAGAATATTAACCACACTATTTAATAAATTTTATGATACGAATTATTACAAAATTTATCACCACAATTTTAATTTCGTCGGGAAAATAAATATTTTTAAATTTGTTAATGCAAATCTCTGTATATACTTTAATATTACGTATTTAATAATACGGAGTCGTAGTAGCTCAAATGGTTAACGCTCGCTGTAAATATTACAAAACGCGAGTAACCTGGGTTCGATCCCCGCCGGTACCAATGAAATTGTTAATTGCAATTTTATGTGTTGATATACCACGTGCTCGGCGGTGAAGGAAAACATCGTGAGGAAACCTGCATGTCTGAGGAATAAGAAAAGAATATATTTTGAAGACATGTGAAGTTCGCCAACACGCATTGGGGCATCGCGGCGGACACTTCCTTGCCCTAAAATCCTCTCAGAAATGAGGGGAGGCCTGTGCCCAGCAGTGGGACATATATAGGCTGTAACTTTAACTTTTAACTTAACTTTAATATTATCTAATGGTCTCGTCCCCCATAATAACACTTCTATGTAAATCATTTGCAATAAACTGCACTTTAGGTCTTATCTTAATATATATATAAACTTAATATATATAAATTACGTGTCACGTTGTTTGTCCGGGATGAACTCCTAAACTACTTAACCGATTTTAATCAAATTTGCACACCATGTGCAATTTGGTCCAACTTGAGAGATAGGATAGTTGTTTTGCCCATGAGTGACACACAACTTTTTTTGCGAATTTAAGGATTTTTAATAGGACATGACAAAAAGTCGTCGAAAAGGGCAGAACAATGTCTGCCTGGCAAGCTAGTAATATATTATATTATACCCTTGGGGGCGGGTTTGCTTCTCGTCGGACGATCCCAACGTTGTTGCGGATTCTGTCGCTGATGTGGTACTTCAGGGTATGGAAATTTTTATTCCTTCCTCTGTGGTGCCCATTGGAGGCAAATCTCAGCCATGGTTTGGTCGCTCCTGTAAAATAGCATCATGCTATAAGCAGAAGTGCTACCGAGCCTGGGCTGATGCATCAGCGTCCCGGGATATAAACACCAGCGCTATAAAAAGAAGTATAATTCCGCATCTAGGTCCTTCAAAAGAGTCATTGCCAAGGCAAAGTCAGAGCATATAGGCAGAATTGGCGAGAAACTAGTTCGCCTTCCTTCTCGAACCCGTGCATTCTGGTCTCTCGCCAAGGCTGTCCAGGGGAATTTCTGTCAGCCATCTCTTCCATCTCTGCACAGGGAGGACGACTCACTGGCCCATACCGCAAAGGAGAAAGCTGATCTTCTAGGCTCTTTCTTTGCGTCCAACTCGACTCTCGATGACGGGGGAAGTACGCCGCCGACCATCCCGCGGTGTGAGTGCTCCATGCCGGAAGTGCAGTTCACACAACGCTCGGTTCGCAAAGAAATCCTCTCCCTGGACATCCAAAAGTCGAGTGGGCCTGACGGAATCCCCCCAATTGTTCTAAGGACCTGTGTTCCAGAGTTGGCGCCGGTTTTAACGCATCTTTTCCGGTGCTCCTACTCCCTAGGCGTAGTCCCAAAATCATGGAAAACGGCTTTCGTCCACCCAATCCCTAAAAAAGGCGACCGCTCAGACCCGTCCAACTACCGGCCTATCGCCATCACCTCCTTGTTCTCCAAAACAATGGAGTCCATTGTAAACTGCCAGCTCATGAGGTACCTTAAGGATCACCAGCTGATTAGTGACCGCCAATACGGTTTTCGCCGTGGTCGGTCAGCTGGTGATCTTCTGGTCTACCTAACTCACAGATGGGCGGAGGCAGTAGAGTCCAAGGGGGAGGCATTGGCCGTTAGTTTGGACATTGCGAAGGCCTTCGATCGGGTTTGGCACAAAGCGCTTCTTTTGAAGCTCCCTTCCTATGGGCTTCCCGAGAAATTGTGCGATTGGATCACCAGCTTTCTTGCAGATCGGAGCATCAAGGTCGTTGTAGACGGTGCAAGCTCCGATTGCAAGCCTATTAATGCTGGTGTTCCACAAGGCTGCGTGCTATCGCCAACGCTGTTTCTTCTGCCTATCAATGATATGTTGCAAACCCGTAACATTCATTGCTATGCAGATGACAGCACTGGTGATGCTCTTTACACCGGCCGAGCTAATATTTCTCGGGAAAACGTCTCCGAGTGCCGGGACAAACTTGTGTCTGAAGTCGAGTCCTTGCTTAACAGAGTCTCGGATTGGGGGCGACTAAATCTAGTCCAATTTAACCTCCAGAAGACACAAGTTTGCGCGTTCGCTAAAAAGAACCCCTTTGTCGTACCTCCTCAGTTTCAAGGCACTCCCCTTGTTGCCTCAGCCAGTATCGGAATCCTCGGCGTCGACATATCGAGTGACGTGCAGTTTCGTGGTCACTTGGAACAGAAGGCCAAATTGGCCTCTAAAAAGCTTGGCGTGCTCAGCAGAGCGGGACAGTATTTCATGCCGGCACACCGCCTGCAGCTTTACAAGGCGCAGGTTCGGCCGCACATGGAATACTGTTCCCATCTCTGGGCTGGGGCTCCCCAGTACCAGCTCCTTCCACTTGACCGCTTCCAGCACAGAGCGACTCGAATCGTCGACGACCGAGTGCTTTCCGATCGGCTCGATTCACTGGCACTGCGAAGAGATGTTGCATCTCTTTGCATTTTATTTCGCATGTACCATGGAGAGTGCTCTGAGGAATTGTTCGGATTAATCCCAGCCGTCAAATTTCGTGAACACACTACGCGGCAAACGTCCCGATATCATCCACACCATCTGGATGCTTGGCGGTCCACCACAGTACGTTTCAAAAGGAGTTTTCTTCCGCGTACAACCTCTCTGTGGAATAGTTTACTACCGGCGATTTTTCCGGACCGAAACGACCTGGGGACCTTCAAGGAAAGAGCTTACTCCTTTCTAAAGGGCTGGCAACGCACCTGCAATTCCCCTGGTGTTGCGGTTGATCATGGGCGGCGGTAGTCACTTAACATCAGGTGAGCCGCATGCTCGTTTGCCCCCTCTTCTATTAAAAAAAAACTGTATATTTATATCTACTATGAGTGGATAGTGATCCGACCAGTAAGCACAATGGTCAATGTTATACATTTGCTACCATTTTTCGCGCTGACTGAGTGATCTAACAATCGCCTGCACCCATGAGCTTCACTCACAGAACTCTACGAGTTACACATATTATTGTTTAAATATTGGTTTGTAGTGGATTTTGATACGTGCTTAAGTTTTTTATCCACTTGGCCAGCTTGAGATTCTATCGCCATGAACTTTTCATTAGGTTCAACTGTTGTCGCATCTCTCAAGAACTTCGCAAGGTGAGGCATTGTGAATAATTTTGTGAACTAGTGTAAATCAAAACAAGCTGTATGGTCTAAGACCTTTGTGTACCTTAATTGGCAAACTGTGACAGCAACAAATGAGACTGCCAGTGTCAAACCGTCACTGCTGTCAAATCAAAAATATAAGGCATGGAGGTTAGAGAACGGGAAGGGAAAAAAAATCTTTATGAAAGATATGTAAAGAATTCTTTTATTTCATAATTCATATCTCTGTTCTTCCTAATCATACTGTTTGATAAATTTATTTCTGGTAGTTACATTTTGGTTATTTGCATACTAATATTAATGTTCCGTTTTCCCAAACAAAATGTTTGCTTTAAACCTGAAACATTTGTATAATATAACAGAGAAAGTTATTATACGGAATTTAAGGAACAGGCAAAAGCTAGATGTTTCAACAGGTGCGAACCCGGGCTTGAACAAAAGGATTAAAGCATTTACAGAGCAAGGAATTAAAATTGAAGATGAAGATGCAGAGGAATTTGTAGAAAAGTCAGATAGCGATTTCTATAATGTTCGTACATTCATTTACACAATTTTTGCACTTATAACTCTTCATTTATCTACTACTGTTATTTGTTAATGTTATTTTAACTTTTTGTTTCAACCAGTCTTAATAAAGTAATGGTACCTACTATTGCTACAGTTTTATATTTTTTAATATTTCCATCATCAAATCAAGTCAGTTATACATATTGATTTTAATTTAACACAGTCTAATGCTAACAATGTACCATTTTAGGTTGGTGAAGCATATAACGAACACTTACATGAGACGTTAATTGGCAAATATGAATTACGGCGTAGAATTGTCAAGGAAAAATATTTTAAAGAGAACATGCCAAATCTACTAACTTGGAGCGAAAAAGAACAAATTCGTCACTTAGCTTCTACAGATCCCAATGAGTGGACACCAGAGAGAATAGCGGAGAGCTTTCCTGTTACAGCACAAGTTGTAAAGGTATTTGTAACATACCATATCAGAAGATTTCTTTATAATATTGTTATAATAGGGATTGGATACTTTTGATGATAGTAGGTACACACAGTCAAAATACCAATCACCAACCACCATTTGTTATTGAATGATTTTCATACCCAGAATATTTATTTGTAGGCCAAATAAATTTTCATTCATTATGTAAGGGATTTACACCCACAGCTCTCAGCTGCTGCTTTTTTTATATAGAAGAGGGGGCAAACGAGCATGCGGCTCACCTGATGTTAAGTGACTACCGCCGCCCATGATCAACCACAAGCCACAACACCAGGAGAATTGAAGGTGCATTGCTGGCCCTTTAGAAAGGAGTAAGCTCATTTCTTGAAGGTCCCTAGGTTGTATCGGTCTGGAAAAATCACCAGTGGTAAACTAGTCTACAGAGGGGTTGTATGCGGAAGAAAACTCCTGAAACGTACAGTGGTGAACCGCCAAGCATCCAGATTTTGTGGATGGTATCGAGATGTTTGCCGAGTAATCCGAACAATTCCTCAGACCATTCCCCATGGTATATGCAAAACAAAATGCAAAGAGATGCAACATCTCTTCGTAGCGCCAGTGAATCTAGCTGATTGGGAAGCACTCGGTTGTCGATGATTCGAGCCTCTGTCTCTGTGCCAGCTCCTTCCACTGTCAAGTGGAAGGAGCTGGCACTGGGGAGCCCCAGCCCAGAGATGGGAACAGTATTCCATGTGCGGCCGAACATGCGCCTTATAAAGTTGCGGGTGGTGTACCAGCATGAAATACTGTCCCGCTCTGCTGAGCATGCCATGCTTTTTTGAGGCCAATTTGGCCTTCTCTTCCAAGTGACTATGAAACTGCACGTCACTCGATATGTCGACGCCGAGGATTCCGGTACTGGCTGAGGCAACAAGGGGAGTGCCTTGAAACTAAGGAGATACGACAAAGGGGTTCTTTTTAGCAGTTAATGCGCAAACTTGTGTCTTCTGAGGGTTAAACTGGACTAGATTTAGTCGCCCCCAATCCGAGACTCTGTTCAGCAAAGACTCTACTTCAGACACAAGTTTGTCCTGGCACTCGGAGATGTTTTCCCGAGAAATATTGGCTCGGCCGGTGTAAAGAGCATCACCAGTGCCGTCATCTGCATAGCAATAAATGTTACGGGTTTGCAACATATGATTGATATGCAAAAGAAACAGTGTTGGCGATAGCACGCAGCCTTGTGGAACACCAGCATTAATAGGCTTGCAATCGGAGCTTGCACCGTCTACAAGGACCTTGATGCCCCGATCTGCAAGAAAGCTGGTGATCCAATCGCACAATTTCTCGGGAAGTCCATAGGAATCCATCTATGATAGGCAGAGGATGAGTTAGGTAGACCAGAAGATCACCAGCTGATCAGCCACGACGAAAACTGTATTGACGATCACTAATCAGCTGGTGATCCTCATGGTACCTCATGAGCTGGCAGTTTACAATGGACTCCATTGTTTTGGAGAACAAGGAGGTGATGGCGATAGGCCGGTAGTTGGACGGGTCTGAGCGGTCGCCTTTTTTAGGGATCGGGTGGACGAAAGCATACTTCCATGATTTTGGGACTACGCCTAGGGGTAGGAGTACCGGTAAAGACGCGTTAAAACCGGTGCCAACTCTGGAGCACACATCCTAAGCACAATTGGGGGGATTCCGTCAGACCCAATAGACTTGTGGATGTCCAGGGAGAGGAGTGCTTTGCGAACAGAGTGCTGTGTGAACTGCACTTCTGGCATGGAGCACTCACACCGCAGGATGGTCGGCGGCGTACTCCCCCCGTCATCGTGAGTCGAGTTGGACGCAAAGAAAGAGCCTAGAAGATCGGCTTTCTCCTTTGCGGTATGGGCCAGTGAGTCGTCCTCCCTGTGCAGAGATGGAAGAGAGGGCTGACAGAAATTCCCCTGGACAGCCTTGGCGAGAGACTGCACGGGTTCCAGAAGGAAGGCGAACTAGTTTCTCGCCAATTCTGCCTATGTGCTCTGACTTTGCCTTGGCAATGACTCTTTTGAAGGACCTAGAGGCGGAATTATACTTCTTTTTTAGATCGCTGGTGTTTACATCCCGGGACGCTGATGCATCAGCCCAGGCTTGGTAGAACTCCTGCTTACAGCATGATGCTATTTTACAGGAGCGACCAAACCATGGCTGAGATTTGCCTCCAATGGGCACCACAGAGGAAGGAATAAAATGTTCCATACCCTGAAGTACCACATCAGCTACAGAATTCGCAACAATGTTGGGATCGTCCGGCGAGAAGCATACCCGCCCCCAAGGGTAGGATGCAAAGAAGGACCGCATCCCATCCCAATCGGCTGACCTATAGTGCCAAACACGGCGGCTGCCTGCAGAATGCAACTGTGATTTCAGCGTGAGTCCGAGGAGCCTAAAGAGGCGTCGACGGAAATCTGATATCCGTCCGGGTGAGAGGTCAGCAGAAAGTCCAACAGGGAAGGTGCATGATCCTCCACATCTGAAATCCGCATAAATAACTAATTATATTATTCATAATATTTTTACTCCGATCTCAAATTATTTCTTGATGATGATTAGAATCTGTTCAGAAATAATAAATATAACATCCTACTTCCTTCCTTCCTCCTCTGTGTGAAATTAAATTGAAAACATATTATAATTGTATATAAATAAATATGTATGTATCAGACACTAAATCTTCCAGGGTTTTTTGGTCATTTGTAATTTCTGATTTATATTTTTCATTTTATTTTTTTGCAGAAATTATTAAAATATCCTTGGAAGCCAGCTACAGAACAGCGTATTGCAAGGCATGATGCTTCTGCTATGAGGAACTGGAGGGAACTAGAAGAAGGATCATTAGATATTCCAGATGATTTACGTAAACACTTCCTTAAGTTCTGCAATCGCACCATACCCCCACTTAATAAGAAATCAATAAAGATTGATCTTACTGACACAGAAAAACTGGGAGAATTTGAGCAAATAATACAAAGGTGTTCACAAAATGATAAAAAGGCTGATGGTGGAAATTTTGAGACCACTGAACAAAGTGATGGTACTGCAGATGAAGCATATAAAACCAAAGTCACTAGGGATACAAAAAGAATGACATTGGATGAATTAAAAAAAGAAATTGATAAGAGGTTACAAAGTGGTATGGAGGTAGAAATGCCTGATAAAATATTAATGGACACTGTTAAGAATTTAGATTCTACAATAAATACTGAGGATAAAAAAGAAGAAATTATTCATGTACCAGAAGCAGTAGAAATAACGGAATACCAAGAAAGTGATAAACAATCAATTCAAGCAATAGACTATCCTGAGAGAATAAGAATTCCAAAGAAAGTTTACAAAAAAGATGCCACATATAAGTTAAACGATTGTTATTATGATCATGATGGTAGGTTTTTGTACAGAGTTTTAGGTTTATCTGAATTAAGTCAGAGTAGTAAATAAAACATCCAGTATCATGATTTATGTTCTTTTTTTTTATAAAATTATATGCATTTCATTACACTTGTCTGTTATTGTAAAATAACTTAATATTATTTTAATGAATATGCTATAAATGTGTACACATCAAAGTTATTGCGTCTTTTTTGATTTTCATACTTATATCTTATACATTCAAGTTATCAATTAAATGATATTCTTTAAAATACATAATTTATGCCATTATAACATCACACTCTAATAATGGTATTTTGTACAAAGTAAAATATGGCTGTCATAATCACATACATAAAACTAAAATATTTTGGTTAGACCATTTCTACCCTATGTAAAATTTTATACTAGGTATATACATTTGCTTCCACTGTAATAATACAACTTCTTTACATCATTTATTGATACATATAATAAATGCCGCGTTTGTTCGCGCTCAGAAAGTCCTAAGGGGATTTTAACTTCGTTTTCTCCAATAGACTGATTCACAAAAGAGGAATTTTCCGTTATGACAGATAATTTTTGTCGATTATATGAACCACCAGTTGTGGCTCCTGTTATTATGAACTATTGTTTTTGCCTCAGAGTTCTAAAGGAAATTCCGCGACACTAATATATCTGTTAACTAGCAATTACAAAAAGAAAGTAAGGTTTATTCAGTTTTTAAGTTATAATTTTACGTTAGAATCAAGTTAAAACGCAGTTACACACTATAATTTGATGTTAGCATTTTGTTACCTTAATGATCTGAGAAGAAAAAGTATCAAGGATTGAATGTGAATAGAAACTACGCAGCAGGCTGATAAACTTAATACTACGCCCCCGGACGAAAAGTTTAGTGTTGTTAATACTACCCGTGCAAAGCCGGAGCAGATCGCTAGTTGTAATATGAAAATAGAAGTTATAATTATGTTTCCATTGTTCAAAAACTAAAATATCTACCTATTCATTATTGAATCTCTAGTGTGGATAGTTCAGAAAGAGAACAGACGCGATGGAAATTCATCATTTGTAAAATAACTATATCGATGCACTACAACAAAACAGTCTAAGCAAATATTAATATTATATAAAGTATAATTTTAGATAGTACCAAAATAAATGGCCACACATACAGCATAATTGCTCTTGAAGAGGAAATTTTACAGGGGTAAAAAATGGCCTAACTCTAATATGTAACAAATTCATTACTCTGAGAAAATATTGTTATAATAATTCAAGAACTATGAAATAAAATAAATAAAAACGCTTTAAAACGAACATAAATTAGGTATTAAGTATATGAAAACAGAATATTGTTAAAATTATTCTCGAATTAATATAACATAACTCAAGCTTTAATTGCGGTTTTACAACAAAATAAAGCAACAAGGAAATATTACAATAAAATAAGAACTTGATTTCAAAAACGATAAAATCAAAACCTAAAATATTGCATGACAAAGGCAAATTGTATTAATACATTGCATCAAATTGTTTCCGAATAGCTACCGTATCGAATAAACCATTATTATGAAAATCTTAGAACTGGACGCATGACTAACCGTCACATGTCTTGTGACGGCTAATATTAAATAAAAAAAAAAATACTTAAGGCGAGGATACTTAAGGCTAGGGTCACCAGATGATCGAGATCAGTCTGGATTTTCCAGACAAACAGCTTGTAGGAACGTTAACGTATAGCGTTTGATTTAATAAAAGCTGAGTTAGTAATTAGACTGAACTTTGGAAGTAAATTGTTTTATTAATTTAAAAGATTTAAAAATTTATATAATGTTTAAATCTTTTCTGAATACAGTAAAGTATCCAAATTGGTGGACTCAAAAGTCCAATAATGCCAATTACTTGTGGCAACCTAAAAATTAAGTGTTTTTAAATTAGTTTTCTTTAAAGTACTTTTTGTGCCCTCCTCTCAAAAAAATTAACTTTATTTTTAATATTTATTTCTCCCGACAACGACCCAAATCTCGACATTTTCAAAATTTGTCCAGATATTTTGGTCTTCTGATCTGGCAAACCTAATTGTAGCGCTCTTTTCACCGCTACATTCATATAGGTCCAGCACGAAGTAAGCGTATGATATTCGGTGGAAAATAAGTTATAAAGTAACTTATCCTCTCAGCTACCAAGCGGCCGCATTCGGTCGCGGCGATATTCCATCAAATACCAAGTGACCGAATTCGGTCGCACCCACCCACAGCACTTTAACCCATAAATACTTATGGTTAGAGACTACTTTTCTACGAAGAAGTTTGGTATTATAGTGACTTTCACGCTGCCGACATCCGCTTGTTAAATAAATTCTTTTTGTAATGAAGTAAAACCTGACTTTGGTTTAAACCAAAGGATAGAGAATTTTGTATAGATTTTCTTCTTCTTCATAGAAAAATAGTCTCTAAATATAAGTTTTAATGGTTTAAAGTGCTGTGGGTGGGTGCGGTCGTATGCGACCGCTCGGGATTTGGCGGACGCATGCGACTTCATGGGATTTTATGGGGATTGAAGGGTTATTGTTCACCGAATATCATACGTGTTTGTTTATTATCAGGAAATAAAGGATCTAAATAGCGACTAATAATGTTGTTGCGTATATGCGTATAAAAAGTCAACTCGAACGCGAAATATTTTCTCGGCGATTAACTAACAATTTTTATCACGATTATAATATAAAGTAGGTATTTAAAAATCCATGCGATTGTAAGCGATGCGATCCGTGCGATTAAGAATTTAATTGCCTAAATCCATGTATACGCATCTTTTTTCGATCATATACTATTTCAAGCAGTATCAATTCTAAAATACAATATCTTTGTCCAACTTGGCCTTAAGCGAGAATTTAAACATATTAAAATCATTGTGTAGAACTTCAGAAAAACAAAACCTTTTCATCGAACACAAAGAAATTACGATTTATACAGTATTGATGGATAATTTTATCTGACGATTGTAAAATCAGCCCTTAGAATTTTAAATGGCCTTTAAAATATATTAGGCAGAAAGTCGCTGTTGCGCGCAATCTTTTCTTATTTTCAGGTGTTTACGGTAGGTAAAGTACGTCGCGCTGCCTTGGTGTATGTACTTCAAATGCATTTTCTTAATGACAAGGTTTCCCTATATTTCATTTACTGTCGAGCAAATTCTTTAGCCTTAGAATCGGTTATAGCTATAATTACATATATTCCAATAATACTTTTTGCTGGTGGCGACAAACATAAAATGTAATAAGTTTAAGGGCCTATACTACCTCAGCTCGAATTCTAATTTCGCCCACACTTCCCCTAGCGTCGTATGCTCTCAACCGACATGTATGTAATCACTAATAATGTAAGTAGATAGGTATTTAGTTACTCATTTCATTGGGTTTATCACATTTATGCCTGTTTCTTTACGCCAACCCAGTCGCTTCTTATTTTTATTACGGTTATTTCCCGTTTTTATTCTACGTCGTCCTGTTGCGTAATGTGTATTCTAATCGTAAGCATCACAGCTTTCCCGTTCGAAAGCCGAAGCGAAACTGACGGGTATCGGGCGGCAAGGAAGAAGTTTCAAGACGCCGATGGTTTAGGTAATTTCTTTTTACAGTGAAAATAATAGTAATTTAAAAAATGAAAAACATAAGCCCTGCTTTATAGTTAATTCAGTTAGTATGCAAAGTTTCACGATCTAATTTAAAGTGTTTTTTGAATACCAGCGGTTTATTGTTCGGTTTGGAGGTAACTTTGGATTTTTTTATCGAGAAAATTTTACTGAATCGTGTTTTCATCTAACATAGTACATAACATTAATCCTCAACTTTACCATATATCTAATTCAAAATTAATGCTGCAACATTTTCGACATAACGGAGGATCTTGCTAAGCCATTTGAGGTAGTATAAGCCCTTAATACATAGCTCGCATCGCTTGTTGCTTTTGATTTATTTAGCTCAACAAAAATACTTAGATAATCGACAATCCGATAGTATTACTTTATTACTAACCATCACGCCAGTATGACCGTTATGATCATTAGTCATGCGTCATATTTTATATAATATATTGTGGAACGTAATGAGAACATTTAAAAATAAAAGAAAGGAAATTTCACATGTTCGAGTACAACAAAAAGGGATCTTGTTACACAATACATAGTGGTAACAGTCTAAGAGCTGGGCTACATAAAAATGTCCACATCGGATACACGGTCGATTTGTATTAAAAAAGAAACCTTTGGTGAAGCCACAGTCTACTACGAAAGGTCATCGAATCGAAGGCGTTTAGACGGAGCCATCGTGCAGGGTGAGACGCGGGCAAAGCATTCCCGAGCGGCTGACGGCCGTTAGTCGATAGTCGCTTGAGATCTGTCCGCTACTAGGGTTGTCCCCTGTCACGTTGCAAATAAATTAAAAAAAATGTTAATAGGTTGTTATCACTCAAAGATACGTTATAAACATATTGTATTCTACAGATGACTATTTTTGATAATGATAACTTTGCTTGTTATAATATATTTTTATTTTTTTTTTCTGAAAACTTTGTCTGATTAAGTTATTTAATTTCTTTAAACGTGAAATTAGTTTTTTTTTATTACTTCTCTGTTCTGACAACCCTAGCAATTTACTGTTTATGTCGACATTTCCGACAATATGAAACGCGATGAATGACTGTATGTTCTGAAGTGTGAGCTAAAGCCGTGTCAGACAATTTTAAAAATATAAAGCGCGTCGAGCGCAATTAAAAATCTTGAATTAACGAGCTTTTTCAAATCGTTTTGCACTGCTTTAGCATCCACTTCTTTGTCTGCGATTTGGTAATTTTTTTTAAATTAACACCCCTTTGGCGCATAAGCCCCTTACAAACTGTTTGCCAATATTTTTCCTCGTTTCTTGAATAAAATAACTAAACGGTTTTTTATGAGTTTTTTCGCCACTAAATTTGTCATGTTCGCGATGGCAGACAGGTAAAATATATACAGGTAAATTTATGTTCGGCTACACCAAATGTTTTTTTTTTTAATGACATTTTGTTATG